TCTAATGAGTCAGTAGCACTGGTGGAGAAAAAGCGGCAAATCCCAACCACCCAGGATCAAGGCAGGGTTAGGTGGCGTCTACAACGTCAATTCACGAGGAGCCTCAAGAAAGACCGTGAGAACTGGTGGGCAACGATAGTTAGTGAAATGGAAGTAGCAGCTGCAGCAGGGAATAGCCAAAAACTGTTCTAACTGATACAATACGGGAGGTCGGCGAACCACAGTTAGTGAAACAATGTGCGACAAAAGTGGGCAAGCTATTCACAATAGGGAACAACGGCTTGACCGATGGACGGAGTACTTCAACGAACAGCTCAGCTGGCCAGGGGCTAATCAGGCTACCCCCTCCGATGAAACTGAGACTCCGTGGGCAGTGTCATCTGAACCTCCTACTGCAGCAGACGTTTGTTCTTGCATCCAAGCCTTGAAGAGAGGGAAAGCAGCAGGGCCGGACGGGCTTCCTTCCACTCTTAAGCTGGCAGCCAATGACCTTGTAGACTCCATTTCTGATGTAATGCGTAACATCTGGTTACACGAGAGCATTTCATCACCCTGGTGCGAATCACTGATGGTTCCAATTTTTAAGCAGGGATCTTGCAATGACTGCGCAAACCACCGTGGAATAAGTTTGATCCCAATAGTCACCAAGTTACTAGGCCCTATTATACTTCGACGTTTGACGCCGTTTAGGAAGACAAGCATCCGCGAACAACAAGCAGGATTTCGACCAGGTCGCGGTTGTATCGACCAAATCTTCACTCTGCGTCAAGTCCCAAAGCTACGCCATACGCACCGTCGACCAACGGTTATCGTGTTCTTTGACCTAAAAGGAGCCTTCGACGCAGTTGACCACGAATCCCTTATGGGTTCGCTTTTTCGCAAAGGAATGCCGCAGAAGTATGTGAACATACTGAGTTCACTCTACTCATATACCTCTGGTAGCGTAAGGGTCTACTGCGAGCTGAGTAGGTCGTTCTTAACTAACAGCGGTGTTCGTCAAGGGTGCCCCCTTTCACCATTCCTGTTCAATTTCGGCTTAGACGAAATACTGGAGAACGCACTTAAGGGGGTCTACAGAATGTAGGTATTGAATGGGCAGCTGGAGAAAAACTGTGCGATTTGGAGTACGCTGACGACATCGTTTGCTTGTTCGAATGTATGAAGGATGCACAATGAACACTTGACAGACCAGCAAGTTCTGTATCTCCTTTCGGTATGCGCTTTACACCCTCAAAGTGCAGTGATGCTGCAAGACTGGGTGTCGCCGATTTCTATTCTGAAACTAGGCGGTCAGGAATTAGCTGAAGTTGACTGCTTCTCGTACATAGGTAGCTGCGTGACCAACGACGGTAGCGCATCGAAGGAGATAACCGCCCGCATTTCCAAGGCTCGAGCAGCGTACGTAGGACTAAAACACCTGTGGCGGCGACGTGACGTGTCACTAAAGTATACTGCGCCACTGTACGATCATTTCTACTTTACGGTTGTGAGACCTTGAATTTGCGGGTATAAGACACCCGTCGTACAGCAGTGTTTGCGTAATCTGGCCCAGGTTGGATGGAGTGAGCGGGTTAGTGACTTAAAAGTGAGTCGTCGGGTATTTGGGAACACATCAAACAAGAACTCGCTACCTCACCGAATCCAGCCAGCTCAATAGGCTCCGTTAGGACGTTTTGCGTATATCTGACGGTCGCCTACCGCAGCGCGCTTTGTTTGCAGTGGAGAAAGCCACGCGGGAGCCAGCAGATGACGTGGAGACGAGACATAAAGAAATGCACAGAGCGATTAGGTAGAGTAGGTGTCTCATCTTCCGGGTTGGGGTCCAAAAGACTCTGAAACCGCATGGTTGTAGACACTGAAGGTCATGGCCGCGAACCGACAGCAATGGCGATCATACTCATTTCTCATCAGACCAGAATGCTTGAAATTGTATGTATACACAGTTGGGCTGTGTACTCTGTGTTGACCATAGAGGTTCGCTTTTTTCCCGTCCCTAAAATTAGGCCCAATCCCTATTCTCCTTACACATTCTCACGTTGTATGCATTATGAGTTTGACAGCGATCAGTGAAGTTCGCTTCACTGTATTACGCTATACAATGATGATTCAATCAAAATAAAAATGAAAAAACCCTGTAAATGCAGTCCCAGACTCCTGTTTATCAAGTTGACAAAATGCAGTCATGGTGTCCATCTACCCACGTCCTCAAAACAGGCTGCTTCAATGTCCCGAATATTGATTGGGTTAGAACGTACTCTTTGGTAAATCCTGTCTGGACCTTAGAACTGGGCGATCCTCTTACCAACGTGCTCTCCTACCAGGTTTCGCCCAAGTTAATCGGCTTCGCTGATCAATCTGGTGATTGTTGACTTCGGTCGTCGACAGATATGACCGTATTTTCATTTTATTAACTCCGACGGCTAATGAGGTACAATCTATCTGCTTGGCCAATTTTCGTCGAACAACTGGCATTGTATTAACGAAGTTTATACTGAATCAGACATCTCTCATTTTTCAACTCCATCTAGTACCCCCTTTCACTCATTTGCATTTTCTGCCTCATCCATACCGTTCGATTATTTGAATGTATTCATTTCAATTGACATGCGAAAACGAAAATCTTATATAAAATAAAACAAAAACTTTTGAAAACCTGGTTTTATTTTGTCATTCAAATATCAAGTGTGTATACGCATGTGCGTATACATTCCATCTAGATTCATATACCTTCAACTGTAACGAGATGTGACATCGCACTCTACTACTGCATTTCATTTTTTATTACACCAAATCTTTTCGGGATTAAGACAACCTTCGTACGAGAAGCGTCTCGAAGCTCTAAACCACTTCTTGCTGAGGCGTAGGCGGCGCGATGATTTGACGGAGGCGTTTAAAATCTTGAAAGAACCAGAAGGATCTTTGCTCGGGCTTATCGAGGCAACAACCCTGAGGGTACGCTTTAAAGCTGGTTAAAGACTGAAGACTGGCCTGAGAGCGTCGTTCTTCGTGACTAGGATAACAGATGCCTGGAATTAATTGCTGCCAAATAGATAGCGAACCTCAAGCGCAAGCTTGGCTGTATATTGACTAGGAATTTTGAGGGGGGATGAGTTGGACAGTTCAGATACAATTGACTCCGGAGCCACCAACCATAAACTGCAACAATGCATCTTCCCAAATTTGCTTCTTTCCTCTTGTTATACCTTTAATAACTGCGACCATTTCCAATCTACTTGGGAAATCCATTTTAGCTTCTTATAAACTTAACTCATGCTTTAAACTCTCGGTCCTACTGGATGGTTTGGCTATCCCATGAGTCTGCAAGTTGCAACACCACTCCCGACCAAACCTCTCTGGCTGGAGCCCTGAGAACGGGAGTTCCCTCCCGGCCGCTGTATACTGTTCGTTTAACTGAAGAAGGAATCCTCTCTTCCTGTTGTCAAAACACCAGGGGATGCATGGAATTCAGTGCAACAAGCTGAACATATTAGCACGCCGCCGCTACGACCTGTGAGCCGATCTGATCTGACGCTCTTACGTGAACAGCTGACACGACAAACTTCACAGTCACGAAGATCTGCTCTTGAGTGATGGAAGCATGCAGCCTAGGCCCTTAAGCTTGGGTAACAAACCTAAGGCCCCTGTATAGTAAGCATGATGCAAAACCAGACGACAGCCAAGTCGTGGTTCAATTTCCTAATCCGTTCTGCATGTCTTTATTAGCCAGTAATCATTATTCAAACACCACAATGTCCCTCTACGACCACTGCTTTTTAAATCCGTCAATCGAAACGAAACATAAGAGCAAACTAAGGTTCCGCAGAAGGGAGCGTAACACGGTGCACAACTTTAACTTTAGAAAAAATTACCTTCAGGAACACGCACAGGAGCCTGGCTCGGGCCAAACGACGACGAAACTGAAGGCCGATTTCTCTCTGGTTCTTTTGGAACAGGAACTAGTGTAGAGTGCTCTTCCTTGTCATCAGCAATAACGGATTGAGTTTTTCCCCTACGCCGCCTAGTGGGAGACGCCGGCGGCGGTTTTGGCATCTCCATGAGTTTCAGTAACTTCTTCTCATATACAGAACGCGTCGACTCCGTAATTGGACCAGCGTCGAAACCCAGCTTCTTCAACGATTCACGTAACTCCTTGTCAGTGAGGTTATCCGCCATATTTTTTGAAAATTGCGCGGTACAACCGTATCGCAAACTTCGCGGCTTCAGTTCAGTTCAGTTCAGTCCAGTCCAGTCCAGTCTTCACAGGACGAATAATGGCTCTTGC